TGAAGTAAACTCAAAATGATGGTGAAAATCGTTCGCTTAGATCAGCCCACATCCTGTGCATCTAAGCGTTTGACAGCTCAATACTAGCGCTGCGAGACATGTGTCAACAGTTGTGACAGCTATTGAACTCAGATCATTCAATGTTTACCACGAACTATTGAATTTTTTTATATTTAATAATAAAAAAGACAAAAAAAAATAAAAATGCCACGAATGTGCAAAATTGATTTTTATGAGAGCGTTCACCTGCTAAGAACATCAATTTTATAAGTAAATATTCAATTCCTACATTACGGAAAATTGTTGATGAGTTCATTCAACGGCATGCACAAATACAAATGAGCTCATTGCTGATTCGTGTTTTACTTTGTTCCGTTAGTGTTATACGCCGCCTGCGGTTCAACCAAAACAGTCATTTCATGAACTTGATTTCTATATTGAATTGTTGTTATAATGGATATCCTACATTTTTTAAGGATATAGTTTTTGTGGAAGTATTCTGTATTTTCTTGGAAATTACAGGGAAAATACAAAATAGACCATACGGTCCACGAACTTCTTTGGCGTAACTTTTTTTACATTCAGTTGTATTAACCTGATTCGTTATCAAAATGTCAGAACATTTGTCAGAATGTCTTCTTAAGTTTTCGTAGTAAAAACAGGTAAAACTGTTATTTTCGAAGTTAAAATCGCTTTAATTCATTTTCATAGTAATAGAATGAATTGATTTCGTCGTTTCATCTTTAGAAAAAAATGCGTCGAGGTATTTCGACTGACAATCACCAATGAAAATTTGAATCAAATCTGAACACTTAAAAGAAATAAAAAATCACTTTTATCTCTGTTTTGATTCATGCTTTCGCAACCACATTCTCAGCTGCTCAGATGCTGGTCATCAGCCATGATTGTCCATTAACATTATTTCAAAATTGTATTGTATGCTCATCAACACAAACACATTTAGTATTTACGGTCATCAGCCTCTTATGACATTTTAAAACTGATTAATGACCTACCGAAGTAATGTAAGAATTGATTTTATGAATATCAGCTATAAGATTCTTTATTTCTTAGACACTATTGTACTTTATTTACAATGCATGAAAATTCTGTGCATTGCTTAATTATGATCCGTTTTTGTACGAGAAGTGCTTGATATTTTGCTTCCATTATTTTGATAGAATTGTTATGAATAATGATCTTTTTTTTAAATAGAATTGTTACTTTTTACATTAATGCGTAGATATTATTCCATTTTCTTTTCATGAAGATTGTGAAAGTCGTCCATTCTATATTTGAATTCAAAAGAATTTTCGAAGATAATGAAAACCACCAAATAATATGTGTGAAATTGATCATGTCGAAAACAATCATTACAACACACTGTTTTTTTGATTCAACAATGTTAAAAATTTGATAATTTTAAAGTCGTAGGTCAATCAATTTTCAAACGTTAATATGAACGAAATAATTTGGCACAGAATTTGAGTTTACCACTTACACATATATGGTTTAGTCAAAATGTTCGATGTTGTTACATTCTCTGTACTAGTTTGTTGTTTGTTTAACTATAACTTAAACATTTTACATTGCTCCATGTATCATAGCTATTCATTCATTTATTTATTTCCCCATTTTTTCCATTTAAACTACATTAAATTAAAGATCTCGCGCTATTATCGTATTTTTGTCCTATTTTTTTGTACGAACAGAAAAAATCAAATTGAAAGTTAGACAAAATGAAGGAATTCAAAGGAAAAGTTAGTAATTTGATGCCAAAGAGCGACAAATCAGATTAAACTATAAATCTAACAATGTAACACTGATAGAGAAATTCAATAAAGTTACATTTTTATCTAAAAAAATCTTTTTTGTTTGTTGTAACTGTATTATGCAGAAGAAATTGTTACCAGAAAAATTATTTTGTTCGGAAAAAAAGTTATATTAGTATAAGTCAACATCGGTACTCTACTTCAAATCGAGAATAAAGCGATAAACTTAGGAAGAAATCGATAGAGCAAAACTGTATTTTTTTTGCATAATAGAGGTTCTACACACATTAGAAAGGAATTTTTCTCTTAACACGATCCAATAAATTCAAAATTTGAATATTAATCACCTAGCTCAATGTACATTGACTTACTGATACCTCTTACCTCTACCTCTTCTGTATATCTCTCGTATACATGATTTTATTTTAGATCACATTCAAAAATAAGTCAGTCAACACAAATTAGCTGACAAAGTGGTGGATGAATACAAAGTGATACTGTTGGCGTGGAAAATTTGCCGTTCATTGAAACGTCTTTTACATTTTATCCTTCCTTTGCGTCCAAATCCGTTGTTCAAACACGTTATCGTTGATGTAATGTTAGCAACAATGAAATTAGAAAAAAAATTGTCACATTTCATTTCATTAATTGATTTTGGGTTTTGAATCACTTAACAGCTTAAAGCAACAGCTCATCTGTTTTTACTCTATTTGAGGTTCAACAAACACGAAACGTATATAAAGTTACTTTTCCCGTTGAAATGTATGCTGTATTTTTAAATATTGAGAATTTAAAAAGGCTTCGCGATAGCATACTTCAGCATGCAGTATATTTAATGCTCTGTCTAATGTACCAACATATCGCACACACTTCTTTCGTGCGCAAACGGTTGCGTACACAGCAGGTTTTGTGAGTTGGTTGCGATGGCTGTGTACGCAACCGTTTGCGCGCGAGAGAAGTGTATTGCGGCAGCTGTGTGTGTGTGTGTGTGTGTGTGTGTGTGTGTGTGTGTGTGTGTGTGCGCGATATGCTGGTATATTAGGTAGAGCATTAAATATACTGCATGCTAAGGTATGCTATCGGGAAGCCTTGGAATTTACATTAATGAAGACGTTGCGCAAGAAAGGATAGCTAAAAGATCAAACAATTTTCACGTTCGCGACAGATTAAAACATTCATTTAGATGAAAACCAGATCGATTTTTTTACTGATGTTGTGCAATTTGCTCGGTGTATTCATAATACAGTGCCCCCCTCCCCCCGCGAGTTAGAAATGAAATGTCCCGATACCATTTCTAATTTGCGGGGTTTTCTAATTTCTGACGTTTCTGTTATGTGAATTAATGACCGCACCGCAGTAATCATAAGGGGAGATGCAACATTCATGGTCCAAAGTAAGTGCAGAACGCAGATTATCTTTTGAACAGAATCGATCATCTATGAATTCACGCCATAATAAAAGAAACGCTACTGGTGCTACTGTCTCGCATTGAAAGTTATTTATGGAGCTGAACATTCAAATTATTTTTACTCTGAGAGTTTAATTATCAAATCTAGGTGAAAGCATGTTGAAGGCTCAACGATTTCACCAATACTTTAATAGTGATAAACAAGTTCTATGTCATCATGCACACTCTGTAGTGTACTTATATCCTCTTTTGTGTTTATGTTTTTCAGTAATTTTTAGCGATAGCACTTGAATGTGACGTTTTTACTGTTTATTTTGACGTATTCCAGAAATATTTTCGAAGAAATTCCAGTTCTCGCCGTTCATCATAACAGCGCATTTAGGTATATTGCTCGGACAAAACATGTGCATATCATCATCGCTGTGATGCAAACGTCAAACTATTATTAGGCCAACCCACACAAAATACTAATATTATTGTAATAAAAGGGATTCACTGATTCATTAAATACCAATCTCATGCTTCATTCATATTATTCAATCTGTTCTGTTTATAATACATATAGTTCGCTCGTTTTGACAGCAATGCCATGCTTTCAATGCGATGCGTGTATCCAACTGTGCATCCTACAGATGTTGTGGTCAACATTTAGTGAAATTGTGTTTATTTTATTATTTTGAAAATTTTCTGAATTTTATCAATTCTGGGCCAATTCTGGCAGGTGCTAATTATGAATATGTAATTGAATCAATTGAAGTGGATCTAAACACTATGGCCTTTTCAATCGCACTCACTTTTGTATAGTATTTTAGCACAAGTGTATATAGTGTACAGTACATATGTGCACAGCGTTAGTTTTGTTTGAAATTATAGTTGTTTTGACTTTGCTGCCATCGGAGTAATGAAGTTGAATCCGATCTAATTTTATGTTTATTAAAGAACAAAATTGTTTAGTCACAGGACTCAAACTGTATTTCGCTGGATAACGTCGACATGAAACACGGAGTCATGGAATTCAGATTTCTGTCCTACAAACAATTGCATAGTGCTGGATTACTCGTTATTCGTTATTCGTTATTCGTCGTGTGTGTCATTTTATTATAAGCCATATTTACTGAATTTGAGACGCTTGCTTCAGAGTTATTTTTTTTTAAACAGACTCAGCAATCAGCAATGCCATACCCACTAAAGCAGACTGATCAAATTAGCTTGCAATTGAAAACAATGATAAAATATTTCTATGATATTTCTGTGCACTTCAATTTTAATGAGATTTCCACACAACAATCAAGTTTGTTTATTTTCGAGTTTACAGTATGTACAATAAGGATTTTGTTTGTGCGATTTCAATATATACACACTTACAGCAGCAAGTGTTTAATGGCTTAGATGTAGGTAAACTAATTTCTGATTTCCTCCGATCCTCATATGCAGTTGTTGTATTTTCGTTTCGTTTTGTTTTGTTTTGTTTCTGAATTTGCATTGCGTTGCGATAAATACGTCTCTGTATACGATATACTTGTTGTGACCAGACGATTGTGCGTTGAACACTTGAACAACATTCATTTGCTTCGAGTGAACAGAAATTGAAATCGAATGCTGCGACAGCGATTACAGTAAAGCATATGTAAACGAATTAAAATGATTGTTATCGTTCAAAATATGCGATTGCATCAGCATCCGTAGGCAATAAAAATACATACCAATTCCTTGGATATTTCATTATATGAATAATCAATGCCAACAAACCTTTTTTAATGTTATTCAAAGCCAAAAAAGAAAGCAAAAGAAAGCAAAAGAAAGCCAAATATCAATTGTCATTTTGTGTATTTTTTTAAATTCATAATAATAATTTTTATTGCAACTATCAATTTAACATACAGTTTTTCTTACGACTTAAATGATATATATCATATTATTTATATATTGTTATTGTTTTTATCGTTAATGTACGAATACATTTTGTTTCCTCAGTTTTATGTCTTTGTGTTAAACCGCTCTTCATCCAAGTGCCAAATTCAAGTTATTGAATCGCTACTTTTTTATTTCTTTTGTGTAAGTTTTCAGATTTAATTTGGGCTTATATTAACATGCCAAACTTCATTATCATAGAAAGAGGGGCCGTCGAATCATTTCGATGTGTCGATTCTTTTTTAACTTCTTTTTTAACTTCTTTCTATTTCATTGAAATGTCCATTGTTTCTGTTTTAAATTATCGTATGATTTTATCATTAATCAATAGGGTTATTTAATGATTGATTTCCATTCATGCTCCTCTTGTTTTTTGTATGTATGTGTTCTCACACTGAACCAATTATTCTGAATGATATGGATAATGAGTCTAAAGAAACGAAATTTAATCAATTGGCAATATAAGCAGTGCAAACGTGCATGTATTATAAAAGTGAATAGTTTGTAATCTGACTTCCTGAATGTTTCAGAATATTTCGCATCCAATTTTGAATCAAATATAGAGAAATTTAATTATAAACCAAATATTGATCGAATGATCGATTTACGGATTTTTAGCCGATGTGCCCTTTAAACAAATATTTACTTTTATTGTGTATAGTGAAACAGTCTTGTGCTAAAAAAGAAATAACATTTTTTGTTTCATTATATACGGCGACATTCCTGACTCAAACTATGTTTACAAATAAAACAAGAGTAAATAATTGTGGTATTTCAATTCAAGCCCTACCGAGTCATAAGTGAAATCAATTTATGTTTGCTTTGAGTGTTGCTTAAGCATATTTTGAATGCATGTCCTATCATGGTATTAATTTTGCAAGCTATCCAAATGCTTGTTCTGATGTTCATTTCTCTTGTGTATCATTGGCACACACATATACTTGCCATTCATTGTTTTTATATTGGATGCGAAAGTTGCGGAAATAATTTTCTGGTTCCTTATTAACAGACGATTCAAGATTTTTCAAGATACTGGACTCTCTCACTTCCTAACATTCTTCCGATTATTTTAAGAACAAAAATTCGCTACATTCTACGTCGACACAAAATTAAATTATTGATATTAATTAATACTATTATTTACACGTTTTCAATATGATACATTCACAATCACTTAGTCATTACAATACATATGAACTATAATGTTGTCTAAACTGGTTTTCTTCAGCGGTTTCGGCTTTTTCCCAAAGCACTTGTAAAAATGAAACACCAAAAAAATTTCATCGTGAGCATGAATTGATGCTCGGAGTTTTTTCTCTATGCCTTCTCTTCCCTATTGATTCCGGTGGTTGATTTGAGCTTAAGCATATACATTCTAGGTACAAAAATCAGATTTATAAAATGATAAAAATGATTCTGATCAATTTATCACAACGGAACATTGACCAAACTTTGAATTTGAAATTGTGTTTATTATTCGTGAAAAAATAATAATAACTAGCAAACTAAAACCGACACATCGCGCAGGTTAATATACCTCGCGCATTACATTGTTTTCACACCTTTTCCCATTCATTAATTTAATTTCGTTTTGTTTTCTATTTTTTCTGGCTATTCATTTAAGTATGGGGAATTTGATCATATTATCTACTCACCGTTATCCAAATAAGGGAAATTTTCAATCGTCTTGCTTCCGCGTGGTCATACCCTGATTTGCACTGAATATTATATCATTTATCAAATATTTATTCATGTAATGATTCATGAACCAATGGTTCTGTCGACTATTGTTGAATTTAATAATCGTTTTATTTACATGTTTCCATAAAACTTCATATGTTTTAATATTACGCGTATATATATATGTTTGCATGCAACATATTTTTTTGCCTTTTTGTTTACTTTTTTTGTTTTTGTGTGTTTTTTTTGCTTTTATTGTTTATACAAATAAATCACATTTAAATTATTGTCCAAAAGATTTGGGATTACAGTTCTCGTGCGTAGGAATATGTTATTTTCCTTATACAATCATTTTTGTTCCCGTCAGCTAATTCACGTGCAAAGAAAGACAGTATGAAAGAAAATATACATGACTTTTGTATTTTTCTTTTTGGCGTTTTTGCATTCTATTGATGAATAAATTGTTTCTTTTAACTATTTCACTAACTGCTGTTACCTTTTTGATTGGAGTTGGTTTTTTTTCTTGAAAATTTTCGCAACTTTTTGGTTAATATTCAAATTTTTAGCATATGGTCGGGAGTTGTGTTATTAACAGGAAATAACAACCCCGTTTTATGTCACTGTTTTGTTTTTAAGCAGATTTGAGATCTAGGAATGGTCCACAACTCATCCATTCAATACTTAGGTTCCGTTTTACATTTAAAAAATAGCGTAGTAGATTCCCAATTGTGTTGAATGAGCTGTCAGTTCCCATATTTGTAGCAAATATTTTAGGGATAAAATTTCATGAAACGCATGTTTCTGAACGCGATTTGATCATAGTATCTACTCAACTACTAATGAATGACTACATTTGCTTCGATAGTTGATGGTAACGTTGACACTGGCGTAGAGTTTTCTGGTCTTGATGATGTACTTGACGCTGATGGTGATATACCAGCCGCTGACAGACCAGCCGTATGATTATTATTACTGTTTGTATTATTGTTATTTGTGGTGAGGCTCAATGGGGCAAATGATTGATTATTATTTTCCATGGATTTTGAGATGACCGACGAGAGTGGATGTACCGACTCAAGAGCACGCTGATATGACTCCAAAAAGGCGCCGTACTCATGACGGACAGGTAAATGGGGTGGATTAAAGTTTCGGTAAATGTCCTTTCCCATGTCTGGTTTGAAGAATGGTGCGTAATGCATGCGACTCGGAAGTGGTGATATAATCTTACCAGCTGATGATGGGTACAGTCCTGGCAATGTTGCATTTGGTGGGCTTTGCTTTGTATCATTTGGCTGTTTCTCTTCTTTGCTTGCCATATCAGCCAACGACCATATCCGTGGCTTACTATTGATACTATGATTTGTACTGCCGCCAGGTGTATGCTTCATATCGACCGGTTGTCGATAATATAAACTAGCTGGATGATATAATGGATAACCTCCTCCGCCTGATGAACGAATATCCGGCGATGTGCTCCCAGGTCGAGATTCGTTAAGGCGTTGCATTTTATTCATGTCACCTTCTTCGCTTGACACGGTGCCACTGTCTTTCGAATCTGACGTAGAACGACACAATAAGAACAAACAAAAAAAAACTTATTTGGTTTCACCAGAAGAGTTTGGTCAATCAGTTCATATTGATTTTTAAGTTGTTATCTAATTAGTCTGCGGTATTTTTGAAAATTCTTAACCCAATTTGACCATGTGTTACATATATAGATGTGACGATTTTCTCGGATCGAAAACTTTAGAAATCGTTCTGAGGTCACAGCACCGTCAACTATTGTTATGTTGGAAATATGGATTTTTTCTACTTTTCTAAAATTTGACTTTTTTCTCTGTACCAAAAACAACAACAAATAGAAATTCCGAGAAAAATAGCAAGCGGTTCAAAAAATAATCAATGCAGATAATATTTCTGGTCTACCGGTGACACAAAATAGATGTGGGTCAATTTGGATTAATAAAAACAGTTATAACATAATAGTCAACATATCATATCAATTACTGCTTACCTAATAAATCTTTTCCATTTCTACTTTTTTCATCTTGTTCATTGTCATCATCATCATCATCATCCTCATCATCATCTACCACATTGGCATCATCGTCATCGACCTGAGATGAAAAGAAATTTAAAAAATGAAGAAAGGAGTTAGATCGTTTTTTTCTTTTTCGTTTGAATCCAGCCAGTAATTTAGAAAAAAAGACATGTGATTGATATTCAGTTACTTCATGAAGAAAAATTGTTAAATACAATGGTAATACTTTAACAAAGAAAACTTACTCGATTTTTCGGTGACCATGTCATCTTATTTTCTTTTTTCAGTCGCCGGCGAGCATTTGCAAACCAAGTCGAAACCTGTGTTAGCGTCATCTTTGTAATGATCGCTAACATAATTTTTTCACCTTTGGTGGGATATGGGTTCTTTTTATGTTCACTGAGCCATGCTTTGAGTACACTTGTAGTTTCACGAGTTGCATTTTTTCTACGCGCCCCATTCAATTCCATTCCATAACTATTTTAAATAAATGTAATAGAAAAAATTGGAAAATAAAATGATTTGTTCTATTTCAATTTTCCAAATTGAAGCATTGTCATAAGTCAGAAAAATTATTAATTATTGCGTCATTTAATGTCATCCTCCGTTCGAATTGAATTTGGTTTCATCTCTAACAAATACTATCATTCAATAAATTGAGAGCCAAGTGAACATTTGTTTCGATTTTATCCATTATGACTATTTCGATGGCACAAAAACACTATGCAGTACACGATTCATTCCGTTCACCTTGATGTTCAATAATTTGCGAATTGTTAAAAAAGATGTATGCGCATATCATGGGAAGGGGTGATATTGAAATAGAAAGTTGCAAACATTTCGCTGTTATTGTTGTACTTTGACTATGGCAGAAAAAATAGTTGCCCATTTGTTGCCACGTTTTTTTTTTGCTTCAGTATAAAACGGGAACTCGTGTTTTCTCGTTTAAATCGCAGTTTTTTGTGGCTTGATTCGTTTTGAAACTGTCTGCGATTTTTTCGATTGTACTACATTGATTAAAACTCATTTTTATTTCCATGATATTCATAGAAGCGCTTCTGATGTCAACTGTTCAAAACATAATGAATGCATTCGCTAGATAAAATAGACAATACATGAGGTCGAATTCAATTGGTGCAATCTACGAGAGGAAGCGCTTGTAGTTGATTCCACAAAGGAGTACACATGAGGAATTTCATATTATAGCGAATCCAACGAATTCGATGTTCTAATAAATGAATCATTCAGTTTTTAATCGCATTTTGTGAAACAAAAAATTATGTCATAGTGTACAAAACATGATTCATATAAACCATCGATACGGACAACGTCCAAGCCAAAAAAAGAGATTTTCGTTTAAACCAATTAGGATGTGATGTAGTTTCAGACGTTTTGATTTGAATTGTTTTGCAAACGTTCATATAAATAAGATGAAAAGAGTGAAATTCTACCGTTTTGTTATAATATTAGTTTTGTTCTCAACTCCTTGTTTTATATTATTTAGCGTGATTCCATTTCATGTTAGCCATTTTATGTCCAGCAAAATTAATTTTACAATTATGTGAATCTACATAAATGTTATACGCAAGCGTTGTTGCGGTTGAAGGAAAGTTGAAATGATAAAAAAAAGATTTTTCTTCTGAATTTGAACAGGAAGGTTAGTTGAATTTAATTTCGTGGCATATAATATACAACATCGCACCAAGACATTGATTTGAGCAAGCATAAGAGAATATCGAAGAAGAAAAATACATAAAATTTAAATTCGTGTCATGATGATAACAACGAAACGCGTTTTATAATAAAAAAGCTAAATCATTTATTACTTTAAAGAATTAAACTGCAACACTGAAAGTTCATTGATAAGGCCGCATGTTAAATGCGCGTATACATATATACATTTGCCGTTCCGTTTTCATTTTAACAATTTTCGTTTGATTACATCTTCTCTGATTCCTTCCTTTGTGACTCGGTGTTATCGGCATTTTTGCCATAATAACACACAAAACAAATTAGCGCGCTAACCAAAAACCAAAGTAACAATAAATTTCGGAATTCATTATTGATGTGTTTTTTTTCATCTACGAGTTGCCTTGTAGGACTCAGTTATCAACCAGAACTGTTAAATGAATTCAATCTAACAGAATGACACTGCTTTTTAGTCGATCAAAACTCATATAACTCTGTCTCATTGATTATTTATTTATGTAAAACTGTATTTGAATTCAATAATTCGTAGTTTTGATTCATTAATGATTCTTTGTTTTTTCTCTCCTTTTTTTCATTCGGCACCGTCTTTCGATATTGTATTTAAACATTTAGTTGCATTGAAAGTAGATATTTTTCAGATTTGTGCAGCATGTTACACGTGGATATGATTTGAAAAGGAAATGATCCATTAACAGAAAATGCAGGACAATTCTAGAGGCAACGTGTTGCACTAAATTGAAGGCGTTAGCACTTTTATCTAAATTTGTCTTATACAAATCGACGATCCCAGCAGCAGTTCTACATTTCACCACGTGGACAATTGTAATGTGCTAGGCAGCTGGCATTATCATTATTATTATGATAATTATTATTATTGTTATTGTTGTTGGTGGTTCGTTTTACCGGCATGGAGGAACGGAAATGAATGTATAATACACGAAAAATTGCAAGCTTCGGACACAACAAGAGCGTATTCAAAATAAAAATACGAGAAAGTAACAGAAAATGAGCAAATGCTAAAATCCAGAGTTGAAAAGTTCATTAGAATACATGCATATGTTTCGGGGCAAGCAGCTAACCATTCAAATTCGTTGGCACCATAAATGATTGCACACGACGGCGTGACAATGACATAAAAGTTGTTCATTTGTTCCATATCCAAATGTTCTTCTACTCACTAGTTAAGGTATACACTTATTATTACATTTCAATGTAACTTTTTTCGCATCAAGGCATCAACCTTTTCAAAATAGCTTTAATGCAACTGCCTTAAGTTTGTGTAACTTTTTAAATAAAAGTTGACTGAAATGTTATTTTACGGGATCACATTACCAAAAATATTTGATTTTCATTTTATACATATTGCAAAATCGATATTTGACACAGTGTGGAGAACATAAAGTAGTTGAATATTTTTTATTTCATACTTTTTTCATCTTTTACTTTGATGCAACTAACCAAAATTAATCAAATACTCTTCATATAGTAAAAGAAGAAGTCTCTTCATAGAAGTAAAATTCATTTGAAATAAATTATTTATTATCTCATCTTAATGCAAAAAATGAGAATATAAAATATTGAATCATTCTTACCATAAAAAACCACCCTTTCATATCTCATTTAAACAATTTTTTCTCATTCAGACAAAGACATATGACTATTGCCTAAGTACGATATTCATTTTGAATTTTGTCAGCTTATTACAAATGAAACCGCGTTTCATCTTCCACAGAACATTAACAAAAAAACCATTTTCTTTTTTAGAATTTTGGTAAAACAAAATAGGTAAAAAATTGAAACCAAGTCAAAGCTAAGGAGTTGATTAAGTGTATGTGGCAGCTGAAAGCAACATGATTTCATTGTTTTGTTTTTGAAAACTACAGCTACTGGATTTCTACCGACGGCATTGTTTTTATTTGCAGTTTTAACGTTATTATTGTTTGAATTTTTCAACGGATTTTGATGAATGATATCTTTCTTTAAAACCACGTCTTCACTGCACGAATAAGATATAACGCGACTGTATGTGCACCAAATTATGTGGTACAATCTTGTACAGTATATGTACTTGGTTCGATTGAGTTTACATCTTTTTTTCCCCTTATTAATATTATCACCATGACAACCTATTGATAATACATAGTGTTTACATTGTGCACAAAATTCCTATCAAATGTGCATCCCATTACTTCCCTCCATTACTGTCAGAACAAAATGATACATACTGCGCTAAACATATACCCGACAAAAAAATCTCAGCGGCAGTGAATTGGTTACCCAAAAATGACACTAAAAATGTACAAACATTTGTGCAGGCAAAAATGAAGTTGAGAATGTTTGTGCTTACATTCAAGTCTGTGATGGCTCGTACACTCGAATAGACTGCCGAACAATACACAACCGATCTACATCGCTTACACGCCATACGAATCACAATTGGAATATCAAATGTTCTGTTCTTTCAAAGGACAAAACATATACAGTGGTTTATTTACGCTTAACCCTGATATCTTATCCAAGAATATATGCCGACGAATCTTTTCTTTTTATTTTTCGTTCGGAGTTTTTTTTCTCTTCTCTTTCTATATCTCTCTCTCTCTCTCTCTCTCTGTCCCTCTGCCCCCTCCCTCCTCTCTCCGCTCAGCAATGCTTGCGTGAGTTTTTGTTCCCCAAAGACTTTTTTCCACAAATTGCTAACATTTGAACTAATATAAAGCGAAAAATGCTAGCTGTTGTATTCAATTCAATATTCCAAAATTTAAATTTATTTGTTTCGATTTTTATATCAAACTTGAATTCAGTTGAATGCAACATGATGACTTTGCTTTTTGTGGTTCATAATTTGAAAATGTTTAAAAACTCACCCATTGAATGCGTATGGTCCCAATGATGGGTCGTATGGATACGGATACGGATAAGCCCATGGTGCACCAGATGCCAAATTTTCCTTTAGCTCTAATCCAGTCTGGAAATAAAAATAAAATATAAGAATGAACATGTCATTGTTTTCCGATCGAATTCAATTATATCTTCATTTGAAACGGAGCAATGACGAAAATTTGGATATGTTCACGTAGAATTCAATGAATGTTTTTCATATCGTGCTCAGTGCGATTCGCTACAATACGATAAAAACAGTCATTTTTTTTTTGTATACACTTAAATGTAGACATGTTCAGCTCTCTTTTCTCTAACTTGAAAAAAAATAATCACGTCGAGATATATGTTGTATTTATTTCGATTGACGTTCAGGTTTACAAGTAACATCGTTCTTATAATCACAGCGAGCCAGTGCAGTGTTTAATTGATAAACGCCTCGTAGCATTTTTCTGTGTTTCTTTTTCCATCTAATCAGACGAATTCAAACAATTTGTTTTCGTCAGTAAGTATTTCAAAAATATGAAAACAACATGAAAATATGTGTCTCTGACAAATTCGATTTACTCTTATCAATTGGGGTTGATGTGAGTAAAAATTACAGAACAGGAAAAAAAAAGAAACCTAAAAAACGAATAAGTTTCTAGCTTATTAGCATAATAAGCAAAAGACGAAGAAATAACAAGAGATAATAAAGCAAGGAAAAAGTTCGAAATATTGAGTCGAAATGTCACAATTAATTCACACATTCGAACAAGAATAATTAGTAACTACTAAGTAAGTGTGAATAGATTCCACATTAAAAAAAAACGTTACACGTCAGTGTATGTATATTGCCTCTAATGTATATAAGAAAAAATAATGAAAAGTTGAACTAAGGACAAATCTTGTTATGATTTCTACAGAACATCGACTTTTATCATCTTACTTAAAATTGTCAAGCCCAATTTTTTATCGATTCTGAAACAAGTAATAACTAGATGGGTTAGTGTTGTGTCAGCTAAATAACAAAAGGTATCAAAGTATTAAATTGTATGACTGATTTAATTCATCAACGTAACAGTAGAATTCCAGTTCAATCTTTGTGCTTTAAATGTGTATTTTTCATATATTAAGCATGGAACAATCAATCAATCATTTGATTTTTTTGTGATTTCAGAATTGAGTGTCAACGAATCATTACATTTTGAATACAGAATGATTGCTGAACTCTATTGTAAAGGGTATAGATTAAAGACAAGCTAAGAAACTCAATTGATTTTTGATATAAAACATTTTGAAGTCAGTTTGAGGCATTATTCAAAATGATCCACATGACAAACTACACTCAATTACAAGTACGATTGTTTTGCACAGACGTTTCAATGTCTGAAAAATTATGACTTTTTAGTTTTACGAAATGTCTGTGAATTGTTTGACAAAAAAAGTGGGATGCTGGATGATGTATTAATCAGAGAGAAATATTTCATGAGTTTTGGATGGAAATCATTACTGGCGATTTCGTACGCACGCATTTTACATGTATTTAACTAAACAGATGCGTGAAGTAGGAAATAACGCTGGTCTATTTGTCTCGTTGCAACATAACCTAACATAGCCCTCGGGATATATTGATGGAATAAAATGTTTTGTCACCAAAAAGCGATCAGTAAATGCAAAATTTAAATCTGATATCGATGTGGTGGTGCTTGTTTTGTGGGACACGTTTTCAATCTCAAACACGTGGAAATATGTTGGTTTCATCAATGTTGCAATGCAGCCTTTGTTTACTCCAACCGCCAAAAAGTCCGAATTAAATTTTTGTTTCGATTATCTCCGTCTTCACTTCATTTTCTTCATCTGGAAGAACACAATTCACAGATCTTTCGAATAAAAAATTGAATCGATTGCTTTCAATTGTACACTTTTATATGAATGTTTTGCGATTTAGGTTGAACAAATATCACATACTCTTCATTGATTTTCAGCAATTATGATCAACTTGAAAACACATGCACAAAAAAAAAACAGACTGACCGGTATAGTCGTAAGTAAATATTATTAATTTTTACACATTTTTCATGCATTTGTGTTAAGTTTTGCCTCATTCTGAACAATCAATGCATACACACTAGAATTTGCCAGGCATTTCCCAAATTATGAACATGTAGCATGTGAACGAAATGAGAAAAAAGATGAAATCTGCTCATTTCACTTAGTAAGTACGGATTTACCCAAATATTCCCATACCAAAATTTCGAGCAAGAGAAACAATTGTTCGTGTTGTAAAAGAAGTCGAAATTGTACGGAAAAACAATGTCACATTCATTTCAATGTGTTAACAATAATTCATTTTCCATTCATATACCTCGTGCTGAATGTGTAAGTCAAAATAACATGTAACCAGTCATATGCGAGTTTACTCCTCCGCTGAGGGCGGTATTCGCAGAAAGCAAAAAGACAAAAAGATATAAATGTGATAAAAACGAACCATTCATGAATACAGAAACTACCAAGAAGATTGTTGGTAATCGTGTGTATGTAATAGAGCTCTTGCTTTTTCCTAAATATTTTCCTATTTGACTCGCATGCATGTACTGGAGCTAGTGCTCTAACTATTTATTTATATGCAACATACTATCCTATCACTGAATAGCTCTTCTTGCTCTTGAGTTTATGTGACACTGTGTGCGCATTCATGTTTTTGAGTGCTTTTTTCACTAGAGCTATTTTAACTGCAGCACAACCTAACGGCCAACGAACGTAGATACGTAACGATATTTCGCTGTACATTTTTGTACAATTATACACATTGGGCTACTAGCGGCTTTGTACTGGTTATGTCAATCGAATTTGGTTTTGTATACCAGAATTTTTATGCTTTCTGGTAATTTTGGTGTGTTCAACTTTGTGCAGCTTTGTCATTGCCGTAAAATTTGATTAGAATCAAACACTTGTTCTCAATCGCATAGTTTCTGTATACAACATGATCCCCATTTTGCATCTTACATCATGAAATACGTAGATGTAGACATTCGTTGAATACATTCAACATTGTGAGAAATTCTTTCACTGAGTACAAGATATAATTTAGCATCAACTTGGCACTTACATTTACATTGATCACTAAATATATAGGAAACAAAGATTTTTCGAATATTTCAATCTTTTTACTTACATAGTGAAATTGTTCTGGTCCTACTCCAGGCATATATGCGGCGGCTGGAAGACCTTCGGCATACGCAGCCGAATTATATATTGAGAGTGGCATTCCGCCAGGTCCCATCAAACTTGCTTGTGCAATTCGCTGGTAATTTAGCATTTGTTCATGTTGACATGAGCAAATTGTTTGTCCTGTTGTTGGATCTGTGAATAAAGGTCGCCCAGAATCGCAACAGCGGTTTGCTGGTGGTGGCCCTGAAGCGGCTGTGTAAAAAAGTATTTTTTTATTTAATGAAAAGAAATTCAAAACAAAGATTTTTGGTTTTTTAGTGGCAAGAAACTTCTAAGCTGATAAAGACAAAGATGCATATGAATATACTAGATGAACACTTAAAATAAATTTGGTAGAAATACTTTACCTGAACAAGGCGATGAACTTCGTGCGCCTGGAGGAATTGTGGTTGTTACTGCCATTGCTACAGAAACAGGTGGTGATGGTGGCGTTGAGGATATAGTATTCTAGAAAAAACGTTTTTTATTTTCAATTAAAAATTGGCACAAAATATTCACTTGGTTGAGACAACTATTTGTTATTTTTATCCCCATAAACTTCAACTAAATTCAACTGAATGTACAATGACAGTAACTCGGTGGTATTTTAGTAAATATTCAATTGCATCAGTTAAAAAATATTCCTTATTTTATAGAGGTGGAATCAATTCAGTTGATGAAGAAAACACAATATTATTCACACAAAAACAATCGACGGTATCGCGATATTTATTGCATCAAAATTAACCAATTTTTCGTTTTCAAGCGCCTGTTTTTTATAATATTCCCACAGCTGCTACGATACAAGCGCAGAGAGCTCGATTCATTAAATAAGAAATCTCCCTAAAAACCTACACAAATTCATTTCAAGTGCATATTTTTTATTCTGGCAAACACACTTAATGTGCATATTTTCCACAGCGCTCAATTGTTTTTAAAGAACTTTTCGAGGTATTATTATTACTTTTATCACTATTATACTAATGAATGTCAGAAGAAACATGGAAAGTACGTATGACTTGATTAAAATTGTACATAAACTATAAGCAATATTTTATTTTTGAATAGGTGAGTAGATTTTATTCACAAAACGATTCTACTCGCAGTTCACCACCAGTTCAAGTTGCTGCACAATAAATTATAACGATTTTCAAAAAGTATATGTAATTACCATAATATTTGAACCGTTTCAGAAAAACATGTTTTTGCTTTGATCCTCTGCTAAACTAATTTAGCCTTAGTTCTTTTGTTCCAGTTGACCGAAATAGCAAATAAATTCACAAAATTGATTTTCTTCTTCTCAAACATACAAACTGAACACTTCGTTCGATTTGAATTGGTTTTTAAATTCTTTCCTCACTCAACTTTTTCCATCCAAAAATATTTTCGTTGATTTTCTTTTAATTTTTTTTTGCCAATCTTTGTAAACAGTTTTATTTCATTTCATGTTATTTCCTTCCATGACTGATTGGCATTGCATTTCTTCTCATTGCTCACAGCAAGTACAATAAATATTACTAAAAACTTTGTAACTAAAAATGCACTGAAAAAATCCACTTAGCATATAGAACACTTTAACTGTCGAAAACACAATTTTTCCTTCAAAACTATGAAACCGTTGATAAATGTTAAATTAATCAAAACATCCAAAAATCCACAACACAAATACGCTCGACATATAACATTTGGTCGATGTCGATGCAGAGCAGAAATGTCTCTGATTTTGATACATACACAGAAAAACGTAAAAACACGAACAGCGACGGTAACGACCAAAATCAAACTGAACGTCTCACAAAATGTTTTCGTGTTTCTTTTCCCTATTAGAAGTCATCATAGACTACACAGAATGTGCACACAAACACGTAGCAGCGTCGAATCAGTGTTGTTGAATCAGTAAACGCAAAAGCAGTCAATTTAGAATCAGTCAACCGCCATACGACGAAAGAATACATAACAACTACATACGCATGCAATGTGTGCGAGAGACTGAGCGTGTAAATGTATTTGTATTTGTATTTGTATTTGTATTGTCAACGGCTACGTTCACGAGCAGTACACGCCATGTACGGTGGTTGCAGCTACGGTGATTTTGTTGCTGTTTTCGTCGTTATTGTTGTTTGGTTTGTTGGTAGATAGCGTAGTGAATGAAGAATCTTTACGGCAGGAAAATTATTGGGAGCCTTCAGGCGGTTGAGAGTAATTTAGCCACAATTCTCAGTATGTCGTGAATTTGATTTTACACAGTTCCAAAACAGCTTTCATCAAATGGATCGACATGTTCAAAACATCGAAGTTGGATTTTCATTCGCCAAATCTTCAGGTCCGTTTTCCTTGTCTTTTTTCCTGCCGCATTCTGAAACCCCAAACGCAATGGTGATGAATTCACAGTGCCATCGACAATGACGATACTAGCAATCATCAAGAGATATCCGCACTACTGCGGTTGTGCTCCAGTCGAAGCAGACACGAAACATAAACAGTCAAATACAATGGCAATCGACATAAAATAGCAGTCAACCCTCCTCTAATTTGTTTTTCTACGCAACCTGGCATTTTTTCGTAATATTATGCCATTGGTGCGTACATCGAACGAAACTCACCATTCGCAGCGAGGATTAGTCATTTTATTCTTCGCTGTGTTTTAACATACATTCATGCTTTAAACAGAGCACTTATTTATTTTTCGGTGTGTTCACAATTACGGTTGCCTTTTCTATTGTTGATTTCAGTGGATGCACGTTAGGGATAATCATTATTACCATAAAAACCGACGAAACCAATTCCAGTATTTTACTCCAGGTAGAATAAGTTGCATCGCGCCATTTTTCATTGAAAATAAAAACAACTGTTCAAGCAAGTAAATCTTAATTTTGAGTCAAATTTTTTGACGCGAATAGATAGCGAGTGATGCACGATTATCGTATTGGCGATCATCGAAAACAGATTAAATTAATGGTGTTTAAACGAGCAACGGAAAAATTCGTAATTAATTCATTCTTTCATTTGATCTAATTTTTCAAGCACGACGCCAGCCATTTTGCTGAGCGAGGCGACGATTCCCTTTTAATGAGAGCAAATCTAAAGTAATATTGCTGCCATAAAATCGACTCAATTAAATCACACAGATGCTGCGACCAGCTTGCACATTGTTTGGCGATGATTAGTGTTGGCTGCGCCCATTAATAGACAGTTTCAACAGAATTTCCCGTATTATTTTCCACGAATAATGCATCCATTTTCAATGAATGATTGAATTAAATTGCATACGAATCCATTCAATTTATGGCATTTATTGTTTATTTATTACAAATGTGTAAATATATTTTACGGTTGCTGCTGTGCTATTGTTCCTCTTAATATCATTATCAAAAGAATGTGCGCTATTTTTATTGCGCCGAAGTTGCATTGGCGCTTCAATAAATTGTTTTCACTCAGTCATTCTCGATAGCTAGCTGCGTTTTTTTCTCTCGTTAAATTGAGAAGCATAAATATTGCACTTCATGCAAAGCCAATTTCCAGGCTGCTTTAGCCTAATCGTTTGAAAACACCCAGCATACATTTCAAGCTGAGGCGAATTTGAATAAAAGGACGGTGAAAGGAAAACCGGGGACCGTCAAAGCAACTTTATTGTGGCAAACAAGATGGGCATGCCAATTTACCTGGCTGCCAACCTAGTGTACATATATTACAATTGATGCTCTCTGTCTCTTTTATCTTTGTTGCGAGAAGGCTCGTTTTTTTCCATTCTACTCTATTAATTCGGCTGCCATTTATAATTTTAGCGCAAACGTTAAATGAACACCAAAGCACAACAACAAGTAAACGGCATTATTAACACAAACGACAAACTACACATATGAACAAATTCTTTTTGGGTTTAATTTAAGGAGCAAATAAGCTCGAACTATTCGTTGTTAAAATAGTTTTGTACATTGTACACACGCACCTAGGCAACGGTACCTATGTATTCATGTATTTGCCGTACTTTTTTCTGTTATGCCGCATTTAATTCGATCTCATAGTTCGTTTGAGGCGTGGTCTCTATAGCTTCTCATGTGAGCCACACAGTTTAGTTGAGTTTACTTTAGTTTCGTTTCGTTTCGTTTCTCTCTCCCTCTCTCTCTCTCTCTTTCTCTCTCTCACACACACGCACACTTTTCTTTTCGAGCAAAATTTATTTGTTATAGTATTTCAAATACAAACACATATTATATATCGGTGAAGTATTTCTTTCTGGTTCTTTTATCGCTGTTGATTTCCCAGTCGATTTGCTATTTCATTCACTATAACTGACGACAAAACCTATGGTATACTCAGCTAATGATTGTTTACATGCTGATTGTTATTTTTTTTTGTATACATCAACCGAAAAGTGTAGTTAACTTTAACGCGTGCGTTTTTGTTTTGCTTCAGCAATTAGATACTAAATGTTTCAATGCTTTTCATGTCATATTCGAGTCTATTTGTTTATTTCGGCTGTGCGGTTGTTTCGTGCGCGCCTAGTCACATAAAACCCGAAACTGATATAAAAGAATAGAATGACTAACGATAATGTCATGAAGAAAAATTAATCCCAAATTATGTTTCCACAGTCAGTCAGTCAGTCATATCAACGTGTCGCCGCTTTTACATTTTTTTATATTTACCTTTGTGTTCTGTTTTAATTTGGATGAACAGATTTGTTGAATAATCTTAATTAAATAATGTGAAGAATGTGATATTAATAACAGTGGATTCAGACGTTTGTTGGAATGGACGCGGCGAATTTATTATCACTAAAGCAATAATATCTCACATGAGAATTACAATTAAACAACAAATTATCGATTAGAATATGATGAGGTGTTCAGAGCTCTTGCTCAAATGTTTAGCTCGATTCCAAAATGACCCAAATTTATTACCCTTGGTTCAACTTATTATTTTGCGAAATCAAAGAATTCTTGGTTTTTGGCAGAAATATTCAAGCCAAATAGGTGGCTTTTTTGTTGAAAATCATTAAACAAAACATAAGCCGGAATATCAAACACACTGTATCTACTTGAATTTAAAAGTCTAAAATTTCTCGGATTGCACAGAAAATCTGCTACGAAATTATTGAAGGAGACACAAAAACGCAAATCCATTTTTTAAAAAATAATACACACAAATAAGAAGAGCTTTCTTTTCTAAAATAAATAAAATGAATCGAGTCCTCACATGCGTTGCATTACTTAAAAGAAGAAAATCAGAGCAGAATCAAATAATATATTGTCTCTTTTCAAACACATTTTGTTGTACTTTTCAAAAACCAGACGGCTCGTTGGCGACTTGCACACAAAACAGTTGCTATTATGGCGTCAAATGTGTTCATACAGATTATATCAATGTATACAAATTTTTGTCTTTCTTTATTTTCACGGTTTAATCGTCTATTTGAACTTTTGATTTAATTAACGATTCCGATGTAGAACATCCATTTCATGGCAAATGAATCAAAATAAACTTTAGTGGTCTTTTTTCATTCTTGGGTGTTTCATTTGAATGCTGGCGAATGGAAACATACTAAATCGAAATGGATGAAAAGTCCCGAAAAAAAGACAGAGGTGAGAGAGAGAGAGAGAGAGAGAGAGAGAGAGAGAGAGAGAGAGAAGGAGAAGGAATTGGAAAAATGAACAATCCAATCCAGGCTACAACACAATGAAAAGCAAGAATAGAAAAACTGAATGTATCGAAAAGCTAACAGAAACTCAATATAAAAATAGAATAACGTGAATAAAAAAAAATAATAATTTCTTTAACTCCTCGTCAAAAGCATGTCAAATACTAATCGGATTACTGAGAGAATTTGAATGGTAACCGAATAATGTCAACGAAAACAACAATAACAATTATAAATGAAAACGTTTCGAAGCAAATTGAAAAAGTATAAGCGAGTACAGTAAAGGTCACAGACGTATATATACAACATGCACATCGACAAGTTTCGGGCGAATTGAAACTGAACAAACTGTCATAGTGTATCGTCACGTTATTCTCGACTGCCTGAATGAGATATCGGCTATCAAAAGGATATTGTCCATATCGAAATACATCCGCGCACAGCTTTTGGCACAGTGTTATGATTGATCTCTGTATTTGCAAAATTCTACGGCAGCCGTTCAGTAATGCATTTTCGTTCAGCATCGAAAATTTCCAATATTTTATTTCATAAATAACATGAACAATAAATTCAATTAAATTACAACAATACCAGCCGTATTTAAACACTACATAAGAAAAATAGAAGCAGCCGTGCGCGCTCACTAAACGTAAATACGCAGGCTCGTTACCCACCTAATAAAGTGTGTTTATATAGTGTGTCAAGCAGGGCTAAATAACTAGTTGACCGAACCAATAACACCAGAAGAACAGAAAAAAAAAACGGCAGAACATCACAAAAATATATAACAAAACATGCAGCACACAACTTATATGTAACAGCAAAAAGAAAACACTATATTAACGAATGTAGTGCATTGATGACAATAATAAATTTGGCTAAATGTGCAACTATAAAGTATAATCTGATTAGGCTTTTTCCGCTTTATATTTTTGTGTGTCGCTTTTTCATCATTCTTGTTGTCTTGCTGTATACCGGGCTCATTTTTGTTTGGTTCTTTGCTCTGGCTTTGTCGTACTACTGCGGCTTTTGTTTCATATGTTATATGTTTTTTCTCTCACTTTTATTCTCTTTTATTTGCTTTTGGGTAGATCAGTAGTGAAAACAGAATTTTTAATACTTTTCCATGGGGTATCCTTCGTTTCTATTTAAGTGATCTCTCTCTCTCTCTCTCTCTCTCTGTGTGTGTGTGTGTGTGTGTGTGAGCATTTGTTCGCCACGTATTGAGTATTGTCATTATTGAAATAGAATTAGATATGCGATAGATAGGCCAACCAACAAAAATAAAAATAAAACCAAGCTGACTGGTAGCAAACGCATTTTGGGATTGTCTAGTTAAAACGTTAAACTGTTTATTTTATGCCTTCTAATCTTTCGAAATCGCTTTGTGCAGTAATAAAAAACATTGCGCTCACTTCCTTTTTATGCTTCCTGAACCATTTGGTGGCGGTTTTTTTTCTTCTTAGATACACATAATTGCTTTACTCAAGCACAAATGATTAATCTTCCCAAAAATGTTCAAATTTTCATAGTTCAAAGCTAAGCAATTGTATTAGTAGAATTATTGCAATAGCTCATTTAGTCGAGCACACTGTTGTTCAGATTCCTGCCTTTTTCCATTTCTTATTTTATTGTTTGGAAACAGTTTGATACGTAAAGAAAAGATGGTGGATGGCAAAAAGGCGATTCATCGGCTTATTCACAAGCGGATCATAATTTGAATTATCCGCTACAAATGAAGAACAGTTGAGACAACGTCGATTGTACTAGTCTGAAAAAATACAAATTAAAAATTATTTTCTCTTAATATTTTCATCAATAAAAATTGAAGAATTCTTTGGTTTCTCGCCATATTTCATTGAGTCCAAACGAAATATATGGAATTGATTTCTACACATACGACCCAAATAGATTTGATGATGGTTAAAGATTCAGATGATGATTTTGTCACTTTTAGCTCCTAAAATAATAGATCAGCAGATGTGTTCACTCGTTTCATACAGAATTCAAATCAAAGCCTATTTACATATGTATTAGAAAAACTAACGCACACATCCAACCACAATAGATTGCACATTTCACGGTTTGTACAACACGTTATATGTTTGACCAACCACTTAACTAGTGTTATTTTTATTAAATAGGATGGCAAACACTCAACAGTCTCTGTCCTCTTGTATTAGCGTATAGCTGCCTTTTTTGATGTTGTTGTTTTTACGTTTATTCCATTTCTTCAAATTATTTTGTCCTCTTTATATACCGCTTCAACCTTTACAACACCACATTCACAGTACGGTTCGCTTCATCTGCTGTTTATTTGAATAAAACTCAACAAATTCGAAATGGCAAAAAAAACGACCAAAAAGAAAAGAAAGGAAA